CAGACCTCCGGAGGCAAAGAGAAACAGCTTCCCCTGACTCAGTGGCACACCCACCAAGCATTGCCATTTACTAAGGTCCAGCTGAGGAAGCCCCTGACAGTCCCCCTGTGTAATTATGGTGTCATCTTTCTGTATCTTCAAGGAAGCATTCGTGTTCTATTTGCAGCTGAATTCACCTTACTCTCCCCAAGCTTGAATGAAAGGAGAAAATGGATGTGGACTGGCCTCTCTACCCTCAAAAGATGCACCGGATAGACCGTCTTACCCCTTATGATCACAAACCCTCTCATGCTCGTTTGAGTCCATCCCCACTCAAATCATCGATGTTGAAGAGAGCCAAACAAAAGAGAGTCTTACCCAGATTCTCTGACCACTCCAAGGCTCATCAAGAGCCTATCGAAAGAATAAATTAGCTTCATCTAAGAATAATTAACTTATATACAGGTAACCCTTGGACAATGTAGGGGTGGAGGGCTCCAACCACCCCCCACCAGTGCAGTCAAAACTCTGATTATAGCTTTTGACTCCCCCGAAACTGAACTACTAAGAGCCCACTGTTGACGGGAAATCTTACTGATAACACAGTCAATTAATACATGTTTTCTATATGCATTATATGCTGCATTCTTACAATAAAGTAAGCTAGAAAAACATGAAACATTATCAAGAAAATTATAAGGAAGAGATAAAACATTCTAAGCATTTTTTTTAAATCCACGTGTAAGTGGACCCACACAGTTCAAACCTGTGTTGTTCAAGGATAAACTGTATAACCTTTGAGAAACAAAGTGCCATAGAAGTGTGAGTGCATGGGCTTTGTTTTATTATGTCTTTAGTTTGGGGGGGGGGGGGTTGTTCTGGGGTGTTCTTTTTTTTAAAGAAAAACAAAAATCCCAATTCCAATGAGGCCAATTTACTTTATACCAAAAAAGATAAAAGTGCAGTAGACAGAAGACTGGATTGTCAAGTTCAAGTGATAGTGAAACATCCACATTTTAAATAGCATTGTATGGGGAACCAGACCCCAAGTTCCGAGTGAGCACTGAAGGAATACCGTAAGGCCTAACCGTCCCCGGAACAAGGACAGCCCTCCCCCAAGGGCAGTCACCCAACTGGCGGGAATGTTTCTGGTCTCCTGGCTCAGATTACCCCAGGGGAAGGTAGGGCAGCACTATATAAATCAGTCACGTTCTCAACAGGAAGTTCCTACATTTTCCTGTTTTCCGTGCAGTTATCCTTCCACCTGACCGACCCTCCCCACCCCAACCCCTGCACCCTGGGGACCCTTACACAGAGCTGAGACAGAAGATCTACGAGTTGCCACTGTTCCAGAAATGAGGGAGATAACAACCACTTCTTTTACAAATGAAAAACAAGTTTAAAAAGGGAAGAAAATGGAAAACTGGAATAAATTAAGTTTGGCTTCTCTAAAGAACATACAAGTACGTTGTACTTTGAGTCAACAAAGATTCCTTTTTTTAAAAAAAAGCCTACAGGCTCTACCATGTAAATAGTTCAACTAACTCATAATTTCTTTTTCCATAACTTTGTAATTTGAGTAACTCTAACTAAAGCTTAGTTACCAAACACTGTATCAATGCTGTTTTCATAGCTTTTCAATCTTTATGCAGATTGTTTCCTTAAGATTTGTTGTCCTCATTTCAGATGTATAATGGACACTGAACACTTAAGTGCAAAGGGAAAAAAGTAGTAAACAAATTTTAACATAATAGGCTCTAAGGTAGGGGGAGAAAAACAGGAAACAGGGGTACAGTTCACTCAGAAAACCTGCCTGCCATGAATTGCCTGATCACTGACTAGTTCTATAACCTTCAACAAATCACTTCAACTTTCTGGTTGACAGTTTACCCATCTGTAAAATGGGGAAGATGGGCCAAATGATTTTCGCTCAAAATCCCTTCTAGCTCCCAACAATCTATGAATCTGTTCATGAGAAACTAAGCAAATGCAATTGCAAGTAAGACTTTATGGTTTACAAAGTATTGTCACACGATTTTTGCAGCAAAGCTGTGAGGCAAGTATGGTGCCCATCTCTGCAAAAAAAGCTTTTCAGAAAGACAGTTCAGAAAAAGGCTCAATTATTTTTTAAGATTCTCATAGCTGGAAAATTCAAGCCCAGACCTTTGAGAACACACACTTTAGTATTTCATTATTTCAGAACTATTTTACAAAAATTTTTTAATTATTTCAAAAATTAATTTAAGTAAGTTAAAATTCAAAAATAACTGCCTATTACCCAAAACCTTTATGGGGCATCAGGGTATCAAAACACCAAACCAGGAAAGTTACTACAAATGGCCCCACTGCAAAGAAGTTCCTTGAGGCCAGGAACAACACACTTTAACAAAGAGCATGCTTTCCAAACTCACTAACTACTGTTTGACTCACCACGAATCTTGAAAGGTTAGGAATAAAGTGAGATTATTGGGGGTGTCTGAATTTGAGATATGAACTTGTGTGATTTGAGTCAAAAGAAAGAAAGAAGCATGCGACATCAGAGCTCTAACTCTCCATTAATGGGGATGAATCTAGTTGTCTTCCTCATCTCCTCATTGGAGAAAGTCCAATTTCGTCAGGGAACCAAAGCCTCAAATCTGAAATGTCACCAGAAAATCTTCAGACTATTCAAACTTTTTATGTGCACCGCTGTGGACCAACAGAAATTATAACATGACAGAGAGGACCAATAGGAAGCATTCCCAAGTTATCGTTAATCACCATATACTTTCCCCTAAATGGGAAAGATCCAGGGCACCTGTAGTCTTATACTGTCCCATCTCTTCTCATGCTCCTGCTTTATAGCTTAAAGAGACAGAAAACAGTCATGTACAGAACAACTCAAACTGCAAACCCGAAAATATACATACCTCAACTCACAGTCAACCAAGATCCCCCCAAGTCTACTGAATTACTATCCCAAGTAATCTTCAATCTATAACTTTGATGAAGTTACTAAGAGGTAGCTTTTAAAAAGCTGTTTTAAAATGTGGGGGGGTGGGACACCAAAATTAAACACCTAATTCAAAGCAAAAGCAAATACAAATGCCAGAAAACAGTGAAAGTTTGATGTTAAAAGAATCTCAATGTACAATTTCAATGAGTTGCTTTGGAATTATTATCAAGAGTTCAAGTCAACTGTGCCATGGAATTCTACAGTCAAGTCACCACTAACACTGCCTGATGCTTCAGATCTAAGCTCCTTGCACGAGAGTTGCAATTTTACATTCAAGGAGCAGTTCCAGCAACTGCAGAGAAGCTAACAGCAACACCTACTGACTGTCTTGAGCCACTTGCCAAACTTGTTCTCTCAAGTCAACTAAGAGAAATCTAATGATAGTGAACTTCTACAGTCCTTTACTTAAGCATAATGAGATAAAATAAATTATCAGCCACATGAAACCTTTCATCCCCCCAAATCTCTCATTTTGCTCCTTAACCATTTATGTGTGAATCATCACCCAAGTCACTTTAAACGCACTGTTAATTGCTAATGCTTTAGTATCAATAGTTTATTCTATGGGAAAAATGCTTTAATATTGATATTTTTGTTAATAACTGATGTCATCTAATAGAGTATCAGTGACCATAAACTGCGTTATGTAAACCTTTTATTTGAAACTACTGCTGTTACCACTGTTCTATATTATTCCCATCAGCTTTTTGTTCCATCTTCATAAAAGTGGCTTAATTGCAGCTTTCGAAAAGTGAAAGTCATCCAATCAAGCTTATATAAAATAAAATAAAATAAAATAAAATAAAATAAAATAAAACAAAACAGCTACAGAGAGTTGATTCCATAGGACTTAATCTTGTACTCTTCCAAAAGATTAAGTCAGAGAACCTTTGCCTAGGACGAAGAGCCCATTGTGAGAAAACAAGAGAAAGTTGACACTTAATTCCCACAGAGTACTAGTCTAAAAACAATTGCTTTAAGAGTCTGAGTCAGAGTTTCAACATGAAAGGTTTGCTTTATAGAGGAAACTGCAACCCCAGTTCATCCAGATAGACCTGGAACCTGATGAAAGTCCACACCTTTACTCTGAAATTTGCATCTTATCCCTGGCTTCCAGTTTAGAAATAGAATCGTTCAGCACGTAGTAATAGTTTAGAAATAGAATCGTTTGTCAAATAGTAACAATTTCTGTGACTGATGTCTCCCGTCATGAGAAATAAGTATCAGGTAAACGTCGTCTACGAGCTATCAGTCCCCCAAAGGCTTCCCTTCAAAACGAGTACCAACGACTCAGTTAAACATCTTCCCTGAAAGTGAGCCATTTCCCTTGTCTATATGTTTTCCAAATGGTGAACCCAATGAAATTTCAACCTGCCCAAACACGGTTACTTGTCCTCCTAGAAACGCCGTGGAACGATAAAAAGCCACGCAAATTTCTTCATGGCCAGGAGGGAAGTTGGAAACAGATGGGGCGAGGGAGGAAAAGTTCTTTTTGCAGTACCCTCACGCCTCCCCAGCCCTCTTGCGGTGTACTTGCAGCAGGTTAGAGCATCCCGAAATTTCACTACCCGCCCCCCAGACCCCCAGGGGAGAAATTAACCACCCACAGCACCAAGCTCCTCTTCTCCGCATCTCACGATTGAACCTCTCGGCCTGCCCCCTCTAGCTCAGCCTGCAAAGCGCTCACCCAGGTGAATGAAAGGGAAGGGTCGCCCAGAGGAGACGAGAGCCCCGGAGTGGACACAGTCACCCCAACCGGGGCGCGGGTCTCCCAGCCTCTCCCGCAGGCGCCAGTCGGATAGTTGTGCAGATTCGGGTTCCAAGGTGCGCGCGCGCACAGCCCGGACTCGCCCCCGCCCGGCTGAGCTATCAGCACGCCACCAAATCGGAAATAAAACTTTGACCGGCCTCCCGGTGTCCTGCTCCGGGTCCTGAACCCGAATCCCGGCTAGATATGGGGTGAGAACTGTCAAGAGTCCTGCATCCCCGCTCCCCTGCCGGGACCCGGGGCGCGGGAGCCACTTACCGCTGGGCCCGGCCTCCCCGTTCCGCCGCGCTTCCCGGGCGGGTCCGCCGCGCGCTCTCCCTGGGGAGAAAAAGAAACCGTGTACACCGTCGGCGCGCGCTCACTCGCCGCCTCCTCTGCAGAGAACCGCAGGCGGCGAGGCCGGGCTGGGGCGGGCGCCGAGCTCAGAGGGGCCCGGGGGAGGCGGGGGCGAATCAGTCCAACTCCCGAGCCAGGCTCTGAAGGGGACCCCGAATGCAGATTGGAGAGCAGCCGGCGGGGGGCATGTTCCTGGCGGAGTAGGGGGCGGAGGTGCCCCATCCCCGGGCATCAACTATTGTCTGGGCTTTCGGGTCCCCGCTCGCGCCGCCTTGTATACTCAACGCCCCCCATCCCACCCCCACCCTCGGGAGAAAGAGCCGAAGGGGCGGCCGGCGCGGGAAGCGAGTGCGGGGAGTTTGGGGGTCAGGGGTCCAGAGCTCCAAAGTAGGCGCCTAGGAAAGGGGAGGTGCGTGCCTAGTGGGGGAGGGGGACAGGTAACTGCTGACGGGGGCGGGAAGGCCAGGGAAGATCGGTGGGGGGAGGAAACGGAGAGGGAGCCACGAAGGCAGGAGAGGAGAGAGTGGCCGGGGTGGGGGGCGGGGGCGGCCTCCGAAGCCCAGACCTGGCCCTCCCCGGGGACCTTTCTCCCAGGTACTCAGCGCCGCACTGACTTTCGCTCACTCGCTCACGCACGCACTGAACTCGTTCACAAAGTTGCCGGCGGGGGCGGCGCTGCACTCGCCCTTCCCGCCCCTCCCCTCCCCGCCCCGCCCCGCCCCACTCCTCCCCTCCTTCACAGCCCCCTCCCCAGGTCTCGGGTGAGATCACCACTGGGCTGCTCGAGCCTTGCTCGCAAATCTCGCGAGAGAAGTGGCAGCTCTGCCCCGCCGACGGGGGAAGTAGGAGTTGGAAGAAGGTGGAGGACCGCGGAAACTCCTAGTTGCTATGACGACGACAAAGCCCTGGATTCCTGTCTCCTGCAGAGAGCAGAGGCAGCAAACGTGGTGGCAGTTCTCAACCTACCCCCTCCCTTACCCGTGCCCTAATGGTGGGGAAAGCGAGGGCTAGAAGCGGGAGGAGGATTTTCAGACTTAGAGAAAACATCTGTAGAAGACCACCGTCATGATAGCTGGCCAAATCTGGCAAATGAGGCTAATTGTTTTTAAGAGTTTCTGGGGCAGATTTCTGCCAAAGAAGTCTATGCATATCTGCACCTTAAATTTCTACCATATATATATTCAATGTTTCAACCATCTCTCAATAGCATCCTTCAACCCCCACCCACTATGCCCTCCCCCTCTCTTCCCTCCCTCTCTTCCCTCCCCACCCATCACCCCGTGTGCAAAATCTCGCCGCCGCCGCCACCACCACCGGGCTGGGCTTCTAGAGGATTTGACTGATTCATCTTGGTATTCTCAGCGTTTCCACAGGCTTGGTACATAGTAGGTATTTACTTAATGTGTGTGTGGCGAGGAACGTGGGGGATGGACGCAATACTCTGTCCCTGAACTTTTCTTTCACCCTACCCTGGAAAAACGCTTAGGCTTAGAACATAAGTTTTTGCTCCACAGTTATGTTTTTGGCTCTACTAATCTAACCTCTCAATTCCGTTCACACAGAATGTGTCTGTTTTTAATAGTTATAATCCCTCCTTTCTCCATCTTTGTTTCATAAAAAATCTTAATCAGCATGGTTGGGGGCCATTTTATTTTAATCATTAAGCTTCTTTATATGCTTTCATGCCTATTCCAAAATGCTGTTAAGCATGAATATGAAATCTTTTCATTCCTATTTTTTTTCTTTTAATTTTAGAAACTTTTCTTTGGGGGTTTTATATACCCACTACCTAAATAAAGTAGATACTGTAAGTAGAAATTAACTTTAAACTTTAGATTTCAAAATGGGTGAGTGAAAATTGATTCCATGGTATATGAATTATAAATCAATTTTTGAAATAGATTCCATCCCTATTTACATCAATATGGGGAAACCATTATTTAACTCAATCCCAAAGAATTATAAACCCAAAAAAGTACATGAAGACTCTTTTAGGTTACTAACATACAAGCTTAAATGCTACATGGATGAAAGTTTTTATATTAGAAACTTGTGATACGGTGATAAAAAGCACTAGACAAAGTCAGGAAACTAGTGTTTGAGTTTTTTCTGTCACTAATAATTGAGTATCTGTGAGAAGTTATTTAATCTTTCTGATTCTTCATCTGTAAAATGAGGGTAGCCCAGATGTTAGGGCATCACAGCTTTAAAATTCTGTAGCTCTTAGACGTAGAAAAGTTCCAATAAATAACAGATATTTTCTTTTTACATCAAACAGAATAAAAACAACATGAGTGTTTCATTTTATAGAGGTCAGTTTCACAAAGCTCAGCTACATGTTGACAAGTTGATTTTAAAGTTCTCTTGTCTCAAGTATAAAAACAACAAAAATATTGACCATGTTACAGTAATTTCAAAGGAAATCCATTGTTGCTGGTTTGCTTTTACACTAACTCAAAACACATTTCTTATTATTTAATAAGTATGCTAACTCAAACCAAAGACCCAAACTAAATACATCCACACCCCCACCAAAATAACTTTAAGAAGGAAGGAGGGTGAAAAGGAAGGGAAGAAGGATGGCACCAAAGAAGAAAGGAATAAAAGGAGGGAGGAAAGGAAGGAAGGAATTAAAGAAGGCCTTAAATTCACAGACTTTTTTTTTTAATTGGTTGATTTTAGAGGGGGAGAAAGAATGAGAGAATTGATTTATTGTTCCACTTATTGATGCATTCGTTGTTTGATTCTTGTACGTGCCTTAAAGGGAGATGGAACTGCATGCAACCTTGGCATATCTGGATGACACTCTAACCAACTGAGCTAGCTAGCCAGGGCCACAGACTGGTATTTTTACTATAACATTTTTGGAGCATCACCATCAAGCTGCTGATCTATTTAAGGAACCATCTCTCATAGTACAGCGCACAATCCGTTGCTCCTTTGCTCTGGCTCAACTTTTAACATAGTTTTGCCCTTGAAAGGATGGCTGCCAATCTGTATTCACCAGACAGTGCAATTTCAGGGCCACCTGTTTTATGACTTCCAGGTAGCCATTTGATACATTTGAAATAATTGACCTAAGTGCTAGCCAAATCTATTCACTTTATTCAGTGTTTCTTACAGGCTCAAGAAATGGGTATTGGCCTCAAATTACAAAGATAACTTCCCTAACCTTCAGGTGTCCTAAACTAGTAGAAACTGTTCCAGAGGAAAAAAAAACTGTTCTTTCAAGGGCTACTGTTTATCCCTCAATAGTGGCAGAACTTTCACCAATGTTTCTGAAGGAAATGAAAGGCAAAATCCACCAAAATTAAGGTTCCAGCTTCTGCACATTCTCTGGGTCAGAGACTCCTTCTATATCCTCCATGACCTTCCAGAGCTTTCAAAATAGCAGACAAGGGGCGGCAGAGAAAGGAAATGAAGAGTAGAGAGTTTGCCAAGCACAGATTAGGTCTCAGCCCACTTCCTGTCTGCTCCCTTTCTGGGCTCCTCTTATCTCCGCACAACCCCTCCCGCACACACCTAAGGGCGGTGTAACCTTTCTTAGTGATAAGATGAGCATCCAGTCTTTTACCGCCTCACTCCCTCTCTGCTCACTCCTTAGTTTGTTCAAGTGTAGCTGGATTCATTACCCTCTGGTCATTCACTCTTACTCAACAACACGCCCTCACATATTGAATACAGAAAGAATTTTGACATGGAAGCCTACCAAACAAGGAAAATTGATATATATTTTTATATAACATAAACATTGATTCACATCTGCATGTTTTGCAGTTAAAAGCTGGTTTATCCATCCTATTATTGTAAGTTCACAACTTCCTGTTATTGGCTACATATAATATCTACAGGGCATCGTTAACTAATATTCAGAAAAATGACTCAACTATTAAAAAGAACCAAAGTGCCTCCAAATCATCAAAGATTAAATGATATGCAATGCTGTTTCAAGGGTTTCATTGTTTTAGTCCTGTGTGGTATAACTGTTTGCCTGGATACTACTAGATGTCTTAAAACACCTCAGCCTCTCATCTCCATAACAGTATTTATTACATGTTTAAAACATCAGCTATTTTACAATCAATTACTATTCCTCAGCAAAGATACTCCACTTTCTTGTCCACTCTCCCACTCTCCTCGAGGACTATTTCATAGCTTCTCCTCCTTCAGCAAACCCTCCAGCTTACTCACAGCTAACGGCCGTGCTCGTCTTTCGTTGGTGTAACAGAAGCAATCAGAAGAGAACTCAGCCACACTCCCTGTCTACCAACCTACCTGCAAATATCTTTCTCTCCTGGAGCTCAGAATGCACTCTCAGTGCTCCCAGCGGAGATTAACTTCTCCACCCGCGTTCGAGTCCCATCCCCTCCAACTCAAGGACACTCACTGATGGAGAAATTGCCCTTCTCTCTTGCATCAGGAAAGCCTTCCTCTCCGTTGAATCATGTTAACAGCTCACAAGTGTGCTGTATTATTTTTCATGGTAAAAATAAAACAATTTCTAGATCTCATGTTTCCTTCTACTTCACTTTACCACTGGAATCTTCAACATGTTTTTCCACACTCGCCTTCGTGTCTTCAGTTCCTCTCCTCCCATTCTCTCGAATCCACTCTGAGCTGTCACACCCACCACTCCGGGGAGAAGGTAACTAAACTTCTCAGGGCTCTTAGTGACTGCCTCCTTTCTAAATCCGGTGGTCAGTTCCCACCCTCACCTCACTGTGGGGCTCAGGAGCAGGGAAGAAGCTGATCACTGTCATTCTTGAAATGATTTCTACACGTGGCTTCTGTGTGAAGAGATGCTGAGAGGCCCTGGAAGGCCTTGGAGCAGAGACGTGACCAGGGCCTCTCATCTCACCCAGAGAACACGCCGAAGTTCCCAACCTGTGTTCTGGTCTCTGACCCCTACCTAGAGTTCTGGTCTCATCTCCCTCTCCCCCTCCCCCTCCCCCTCTCCACCCCAGCCACATTGAGTTTTCTCTGTTTCCTGAATACACCAGGCACAGACCTTGCATTTGCTGTTTCCTCTGCCTGGAATGCTCTCTCCCCAGATCACTTTATGGCTCATTCTCTGAGTTCCTTTAGGTGTCTGTTCAGAGCTGCTGTACTGTCATTTACCTGCTTGCTCTCTGGCGCCCTCTCTTCCCCTTCTGTGACTGAAACACCCCCCAAAACCCTCCCCCCCGCCCCACCCTGGACTCTTTCCCAGGGTCCTCTGTCAGGAGCTTACTGATGGGTTTAGTCTTTGAGAAGCGTGAGAGGAATTTGGACAGCTGGA